GCATAAACCGCTACACAATGTGGCTTATCTGTTGGGGGGGTTCTTTTTTTTTTTTTTTTGAGTCAGAGTCTCATTCCGTCGCCCAGGCTGGAGTACAGTGGCATGCTCACGGCCACCACAGCCTCAACCTGCTAGGCTCGGGTGATCCTTCCACCTTAGCCTTCCAAGTAGCTGGAACTACAGTCATGCACCACCATGCCCAGCTAATTTTTTGAGTTATTGCAGAGATGAGGTCTCACCAAGTTGCCCAGGCTAGTCTCAAACTCCTGGGCTCAGGAAATCCTCTCCCTTTGGCCTCCTAAAGTGCTGGGATTATAAGCATGAGCCACTGTGCCCGGCTGGGAATCTTAATTTTGTTGGAATTTGGGCATTTTTTAAATGATCTTGTGTCTGTGATCACATGATTACTTTGTTGGAAGAAGAGATGTGTCTGTCAATGTATACACTGAACTAACCAGAACCCATAAGAACGATGAATAAAATGTAGAAAGAAAAAAAAAATAGAGCTAACCATTGATTGTGGATGTAGTCATGATAGAACTATTCTGAAGAGGTCTGTTAAATATCAGAAAACTGAATTCAAAAGGTTCCATTTTGCAGTCGCATTTCATTTAGTGAAATGAGTTCTCATGTTTTTTGAACTTGATAGAGTATGGCTTATTGATTTAGTTCTGTAGTTAATAAATTACTGCTTGCTTCTATCTTCCATTTTGTTTACAAGAAGTAATTAAAGTATTGAGATATTTCTACTTCCTCTTACATGCTCAAGAAGTAGTTAGATCCCTAAGCAATATAAATAATACCTAGAAATATTTCCTCACTCATTGGCAATGACCTAGGATGAGGTAAAACTCCTAGTAGAGACTTGTCTTCATTTTCTTCCTCCTTGAGATCGTCTCACTTCCAACAACAATAAAGACATTCATTGAGTGATGAATTTTTTGTGCCTGGCATTCTGTCAGGCATTGGAATTTTTAAAACTCTTCTATATCTTACCCTCAAACCTCAAAACTCTAAGTGGTCCCACTTGGAAACAAAAGCACTTGGAAATCGGAAATAGGGTAGCTCTTTTGGAATAAAGGTTTCAGACAGGATAACAGAATGGTTAGAGTGTGGGCCCTGTCTGGAATTCCTGCTCAGATACTTCCACAAGCTGTGTGACACTGGCATGCTGTATAATCTCTCTGTGCTTTACTGTCTTGTTCTGTAAAGCAAGAAGAATAATAATCTGTACACCATAAAGTTGTTGGGAAGAATAAATGAGATAATCCATGTAAGTTGCTTAGGACTGAACCTGGTACATTGAAAATCCTCTAGCTGAGCCATTGCCTTGCTAGACTCTGATGTGGCCATGTGCTCTTTGAGCTGTGGCTGTTGCCATGCTTCCTGGCTTTGGCTCCCTCCCCCACCTTGAAGAGATGAATCTTCTCTTTCCCTTCTCTTTCTCTCTCTAATTTACTTTTAAATAAACTTCTCTTTCTTAAAAAAAAAAAAAAAGAAAATGCTCTAGCTATTATTGCACAAGGGACTCAATATTTGTAGACTCTACAAGGGTCAACTCTGTCTACAAATAAAAGAATGTATTTTGTGAAGATGGTGGAAGACTATCAGTCACTCAATATCATTTTGTGTCAAGATCTCATACACAGTGATCATTGTAAGTGTGTAACTGGGAAGTACAGAAATATATTGGAAGGTAAACACATGAGCTTTCAAAACACTGTTACATTTTCTATAAATCAGGATTGGAAAACTTTTTCTGTGAAGGACCATATGGAAGATCTTTGGGGCTTAACAGGCCAGTCTCTGTTGCAGCTACTCAACTCTGTGGCCGTGGAGTAGAAGCAGTTATTGGCAATGTGTAAATGAATGGGCATAGCTACTTTCCAATAAAACCCTAAAAGAACAGACTGTTAGCTGGCCCATAGGTCATAGTTTGCCCATCCCTGCTCCACATGATTACCCTAGACTATCAGGCCACTTCAGCTGAGTAACCACAGAAAGCAAATAAACTGGGGAGGAAAATAAAGAGAGTGAGAAAAATTTAAGACATGGGAGAATAAGCAATGGGTCCTTCAATGTCTCTCTTCTCTCATTCAAAATGGTAGTTGATGCCTTAGATGACAAAGAAACAGCATATTCCATTTCTTCTCTTTCATTTAATACATGATTGTGAAGCACTTACCATGCCCCAGACATTGCGCTGTGGTCTATAATGCGGAGTGAAAACAGACCAAGTCCCTGCCTTCAAGTAACTTATGATCTATCCAGGGCAAACATCAGCCGCATAGTCACACAAACGAATTTAAACTTGAACTTGTGCTAAGTCCTACGAAAGCTGCTAAGGGAGGATTGTTCTAGCCATGGAGCTCACTCACAGTTCCCTGAGGAACCCGAGCCTAAAGCCTGAGCTGAGATCTGACAAATGAGTTACACTATTAGGCAATAGGGTAGGGGATCATTCCAAGCAAAGGGAACAGCACAGGCTCCTTGACAGCAGAAAGCATGGAGCATTCAAGGGATGAAAATAAAGTCACTATGGTTGGAGCCAAAGAGCCAGATGGAGCATGGGAGATGGGGCTGGAAAGATAGGTAGGGGTCAGACCATAAAGGACCATGGTTGCAATCAATTCTTTATTTATTCAGCAAATATTTACTAAACACTATGTCAGGCTCTGTGGATACTGTGAATGAGAAAGGCAGACATTAAATAAATGAACACTCAAATCTATAATTACAAAACTCTGCATCTAGAAGTTCTATGCCCCTAGAACTCTGCCCAGTGGTCTCAATTGTTGAAATATAAATAAATTACCTGGCCTGTTCCCAGAATGAAGTCCCAGTTTAACAAGGTGCTCATGTTATCAGTACACACAAACATATTACTCACTCTATCAATATCCTTTTTAAATTCTGGGTGGATTTGATATATCATCCCTAGAATTCAGCCTGTGAAACACCATGTCAGGCATCACTACAGATCAATAATGCACCACTGATGGTCTCTTCTTTCGGATGTGGGCTTCCAGAAAGGTGTGGCTCTCATGCTGTGGCCCCTTGTCTCATACAAGTCTTTATGACTTGCTATTGAGGATGATATCACGAACAAGACTGTAACAATAAACCAGATCTGAATATTTGACATACTAATTCAATTGTCTAAATCTGAGCTTTTAAAATAATTTTTGCTATCTACTTTTCTTATGTATTTATTCCTGCGGTAAACAATGTATTCTAGCTTACATTATAAACCCTTAAGAGAAGCAGGGATCTATTCTAGGGAACTGCAAGATTTACAAATGCTTTTAGATGTTAATAACTGTGAAAACAAAACAAGATCTTTAAACAGTTTCAAAGTGATTTAATCACAATAAAACTGTTTCTTTTTTCTTTTCTTTTTTTTTTTTTGTTTTTGTTTTTTGAGTCAGTCTCACTCTGTTGCCCAGGCTGGAGTGCAGCGGCATGCTCAAGGCAACCCCAGCATTGACCTGCTGGACTCAGGTGATTCTTCCGCCTCAACCTTCCAAGTAGCTGGAACTACAAGCAAGGGTTACCATGTCCGGCTAATTTTTTAATTTATTGTAAAGACAAGGTCTCGCCAAGTTGCCCATGCTGTTCTCAAACCACTGGGCTCAGGCAATCTTCTCGCCTCAGCCTCCCAAAGTGCTCAGATTACAGGCTTGAGTCACCACGCCCGGCCACAATAAGACTATTTCATTCTTAACTCCATGGTCTATTTTTCTATCAAAAATAAAATGAGGATGACAAGGAATGATTTGCCTTATATAAAGCTGGGATGATTGCTATCCAGTACTTGATGCCGGTCTTGATGGGCAAATGAATTACCCGATGATGATTTCCACTGCAGCAGTGTGGTTCTCAAATGCCTGGGGGTTCTCATGACCCTTTTAGGAAGGTGAAGGAGCTACAATTATTTTCTTAATAATGCAAGAATATTATTTGTCTTTTCCAGAGTTTTGTCATTTGTATTGATGGTGAAAATGCAATGGCGAGTAAAACTGCTGGTGCTGTAGCATGGATTAAGGCAGAGGCACCAAACTATATGACTAGTCATTGTATTCTTTCCCACCATGCACTGACAGAAAAAGAAATGCTATTTTGCTTAATAATGGTGTTAACGAAGCAATAGAAATCATTAGTTATTTTTCATTAAAATGCTATTTTAATACACAATTATTTTTTAAAAATCTAATAAATATTTTAAATTTTCCTGGTTTTAATTTCTCTCTTTCTTTTCTTTTTTCTTTTTTTTTTTGAGTCAGAGTCTCACTCTGTTGCCCAGGCTGGAGTGCAGTGGCACACTCACAGACACCGCAGCCTCGACCTGCTGGGCCCAGGCGATTCTTCCACCTCAGCTTTCCAGGTATCTGGAACTACAGGCATGTGCCATGTTCAGCTGATTTTTTGATTTACTGTAGAGATGAGGTCTCATCAACTTGCCCAGGTAGGTCTCGAACCCGAGCTCAGGCAATCTTCTCGCCGCGGCGTCCCAAAGTGCTGGGATTACAGGCTTGAGACACCGCACCCAGTCAGTTTTAATTTCTAACTTGATAAATATAGTTATGACAGCTACACAAAAGGTTTTTAGAGTCCTCAACAATTTTTAAGAGTATAAAAGGATCCTCAGACCAAAATGCTTGAGAATTGCTGCTGGCTTAGTTTTCCGAACACCACTTTTATCAAGACAAATTTCCTTTTTTGTGTGTGAAACAACTTTATTTCAATTTTAGTTTTAGAGAATAGGAAATGGGGAGGCAGGAATAATGCTTGGTCAACCCCAAGAAGTGAGGAAGAGGCTACAGCCAATAAGAATGAGTAAGACTGCTCTTTTCTGACTTTCTTGATAACAGGAATGAAAAAAAAGAACTCCAAGAACATACTAAATTAAGTGAACAAACAATGTCAGGTTATTTAGGCCAGCCAACGGAGAAGAAATATCAGACAACCGTTTCAATTCATGAGAAAATGGCCTAGTCAGTCTATTGAGGCCTTGGCACTGGGTTGGATGGGTTGGCTGGACTGGTCGGATTGGCTGAGTTGGCTGGGTTGCCTCTATTTGAAGGTCGAGACCGCTCTCTCGAGGGCACATAGGGACCACTGGGACGATAACTGTGAAAACCCCTAAGGACCACAGGGGCCTGCCGCTGAGAGCTAGGTGTGGCAAGGAGGGACATAAGCGGCTGGGGACCAAACATGAAGTTGGTTTGGGAGGAAAAGCCTGTCTGAGCAGATGAAGAGACCCTGGAATGGAAACAGAATTGATCAGACTGGAAAGTACGGTCTGAAGAAAAAGAGGTATCTGGGGAACGGAGCAGGAACCGGGTCATCCCCTGGAGAAGGGGAGTGCGAGAAGGTTGCAGTAGCAGGAGTGGGGGCAGGCGTGGGGTTTCGAGCAGTGGGGTGCGTCTGGGAGGACGAAAGTGTTGGGGCAGAGGTAAGGCCTGGTGATATCTGTTGGCCTGGGGCTGCCCTTCAACTCTCCGGCCAGGTGTTTTCTTGGCCAGGCCATCCCTGATCCACTTGCCCACGGGGTGGCGGCGGGGTAGCTGCACACCCCATGCATCTGCCACATGGGCCAGCAGCAGATTTGAGAGGTGGCGGTGAGCACGCTCGTTCCAGTGCACCCCGTCTGGCTGCAGGAACAGCATTGAATGACGGAAGTGGAAATGCAAATCTAGCACATCAAAGCCATGTTTACTGGCCTCAGCAAAGCTGTGGAAGTTGGCTTCCACCACGCTGAATTTCAAGGACCTGGCCCAGGGTTGGTGCTCAGGCAGCAGAAAACCACCGGTGACTTCCTGGCCCACGGGCATAGCTGTGTTCCATACCAGGAGGCAAGACTCGGGCAGCACCTCGCTCAGGCGCTGGAACAGGATCCCCAGGTTTTGCTGATAGCTCTGCCAGGAGTCCTGGCCATACCTGGAGATGTCCCAGAGGCAGGAATTCATGATGACCAGATCAGGGGCTTCTTCTCCCGATTGCAGCTCTGTCAAGATGGTCTCGACATACTCAGAGTACACACGTGTGAGGAAGTAGAAATGCACCAGGTGGTGGCCAGAGCAGAAGTGGCGGACCTCTCGGTAGCTGGTGCCATTGTGCATCTGGCCCAGCTGGCCTCCTGCCACCAGCTTATCCCGTTCGAAGCTCAGTTCTCCCTTTGCCTTGAGCTGGCTGCGAGTGAGCAGGCAGTCCTTCTGCAGCAAAAGCACCAGGTCTTTGTACACAGTCCTCTGTACAGAGTCCCCCAGGATGACCACAAACTTGTTGTGGAGCAGCTGCCGCACTTCGGAGGTCCTCAGGTAAACCATGATGCCCAGGACACGCAACCTAGTTCCTTCCTGTGGATTGCTGTAGACAGAAGAAGAGAGTGGCTTGGAGGGATTCACCTCTAGGCAGGGCACCCAGTGCAGGGAGGGCATGGGCAATGGGAAGGAGCTGTGGCCTCTCCCCCAAAAAAGTGTGCCTGGGGAGCCTATATGGTAACCCTGGACCTGGAAGTGGGGTGAGCAGGCAGGGTGGGACATGGGAGCCAACTCCTCTTTTCAATTATAGGTTATACATAGACTTTTCATTTTTCCAGGTCTAGCTCTTCATGACTTCTTAAAAATAATAGCTAATAGCAAAATAATCTTCTAAAATGTCTTAAACACTCTCCAGTGTGTTTAACCAGTTTATATCTCCTCACTCTCCCTTAGTGTGGTGTTTTGGAATGAGCCACCTGGCCCTCCCAGAATTTTGGCATAGTGGGATGCAGTAGTTGTTTTGTCTACCCCACACACTTTCTCTTTCTTCTTTTCCCAGTCACATCCTCTTCCCTTTGGAGAACTCTCTTCCCATTCCTTGTCCTCCTAGTGAAGCTGGCAATCACAGTGCCCCCAGCCCCACCAAACTACAAAGACAGGCACATGATCCAAGCCTAGCCCAATCATAGCACTGCATCTTCTGGGAAATAGTAATGGGGACAAGGGAGAGGTCACAAGCTAAGCAAATCGGGGGCTTTGCCTAAAAGTGTCTGAAGTAAAGGTAGCCCTCATGTAGATCATAAGTTGTAAGAGTATATGAGTAGGCTACCACCCACCATCTTTCTCACCATATTGAGAGAAACTATCTACAGAATGAACCCAAGCAGAGACAAGAAGTAATAAAGATGAGTGAAGAGAACATTCTGGAAATTTTGAGTCCTTATTACAATCTGTGAGGCCCTGGTTCCTGGAAACTCTTCCTCCCTTCAATTCTGCCAAGTACCATGTGAACAAATAAATTCCCTTTTGTGCTAAAACCACTCTTCTAGTTGAAAGAGTTTGGAGCCAGGCTTGGTGGCTCAGCTTGTAATCCCACGCCTTGGGAGGCTGAGGTGAGTGGATTGCCTGAGCCCGCGGGTTCGACACCTGCCTGGGCAACTTGGTGAGACCTCATCTCTACAATAAATCAAAAATGAGCCGGGCGTGGTAGCGCACGCCTGTAGGTCCAGCTACTTGGAAGGCTGAGGCAGAAGGATCGCCAGAGCCCAGCAGGTGGAGGCTGCGGTGGCCGGGAGCGGCCACTGCACTCCAGTCTGGGCAACAGAGTGAGACTCCAACTCAAAAAAAAAAAAAAAAAGGGTTTGGAATAATATATTTGAGGAAGTTATTTAATCTTCTGAATTTAGTTTCCTTACCTCACCTGTTGGAAGGATTTAATGAGACAATGTTAAAACACATTGAAAACTAAAATTGTGTACAAGTATTGTGTATAATAGATATTTTCTCTTTACTTCCAAGTATCAAGACTACTAGCAATTATTTTTAGATCACTAAATATACTAATCGCAAATCCTTGGGTCCAAGAATGGTTTGAGGTCCTTTAATTTCCTGTGGAAATCAAGAAAGGCTTAGGAATCTTTTTACCATGGTTATCCTAACTAGAGGGTTCACCCTGCACTTAAGCCAGTTTGTTCTAGGTCAGCTCTCAGAGGACTTCAGAATTTTCAGACCCAAAAGGGGTGGGGTGTGTGTGTGTGTGAGTGTGTGTGTGTATGAGTGTGTGTGTGTGTTTGTGTGTGTGTGTGTTAGAGAAAGACAGAGAGAGAGAAACTCCCACACAACTAAGTGCCACTTACTATGAAGCATAAGTGACTGAACCCCTGCATAACAAAGCTCAAATGGTGAGAGAACAAAGTCAGGTGCATCATCTATAGCACGTGGAATCTGATGGTGACTTCTACAGTGTGCTCGGCAGTGTCAGGTTTCAAAGGTATTTTTGCCGAGCATTTTCTCACTGTGGTCTAAACTGTCCAAAGTCTTCACCGAATCAGAACCAAGGTATTCTCATTCACTAGTGACTGCTCTATACTGTGCCATTTTAGAAAATGACACAAGGAAATATGATGCCTTCTAGGGGACATGCTTTAGTTCTATCTTATCAAAAGACTGAGTTCCTCTTAAATGACTCTTCTAACATTTCTCATTGTCTCTGTAACTACCTTTGATTATGTGACTGCAGAGAGCAGTTTCTCAGGTGAGGCTTCCCACCAGAAAGTGGATTACTTCAACGTGAATGCCTGATAAACCACACAGCAAAAGGGTAAGAGCAGCAAGAGTCATTTCATTTCATTAAAATAGCAATCATCAGCCGGGCTCGGTGGCTCAGCCTGTAATCCCACGCCTTTGGGAGGCTGAGGTGAGTGGATTGCCTGAGCCCGCGGGTTTGAGACCCGCCTGGGCAGCGAGACCTCATCTTCACAATAAATCAAAAAATTAGCCGGCGTGGTAGCGCATGCCTGTAATTCCAGCTACTCCGAAGGCTGAGGCGTAAGGATCGCCGGAGCCCAGCAGGTGAGGCTGCTGTGGCCGGGAGCGGCCACTGCACTCCAGTCTGGGCGACAGAGTGAGACTCCAACTCAAAAGAAAAAAAAAAATTTAGGCTGGGCTCAGTAGTTATAGTAAGCAAGACAGTGTGATATTGGGAATGGGATAGACACATATATCATTGAAACAGAATGATCATAAATAAGCCCATTTTTTGACACAAGTAATCCCATGGAGGAAGAATAAACTTTTCAACAAATGGTATTGAAATTGGATGTCCGGGCTGGGCTCGGTGACTCAGCCTGTAATCCCAGCACTTTGGGAGGCTCAGGTGAGTGGATTGCCTGAGCCCATGGGTTCAAGACCTGCCTGGGCAACTTGGTGAGACCTCGTCTCCACAATAAATCAAAAATTACCTGGGCATGGTAGTGCACGTCTGTGGTTCCAGCTACTTGGAAGGCTGAGGTGGAAGGATCCGGAGCCCAGCAGGTAGACGCTGGAGTGGCTGTGAGCGGCCACTGCACTCCAGCCTGGGCAACGGAGTGAGACTCCAACTCAAAAAACAAAAAAACAAAAAAACTAATCTCGGAGAAATTTTGGCTCGCCTGTCTCAATAGATAGTAATGGCTTTATAACTACACAGGAATTGACTTTGTAGCACCTTGAAGTAAATTTGGAATGTGAAATTTGTAGCTTTATCAGACCAAACTGGAAAAAATAAAATGGGTTCAATTCACCACAAAGAAGGAAAGTTGGCATCCCAGTGAGGACAGAGGCATGCTCTAAACAGCCCCTGTGACCCTAACTGCCTCAGTTTGGGCCCTACAGACTGAACAAAACAGAACAGTGAGAACAAGTAAGATTTTTATTAGCTCTGCCTTACTGAAGAACATATTTGTTTGATGTGGGGAAACAATCAGTTCATGTTCTATGCCACTCAGGTGTAGTTTTATTATTACTTTTTTATAATCAAGAGAAGTGGATTTAGCTGGAACCGGCAGACTGTAGAGTAGGAAATGTGGGGAGGAGGGCTGAGGAGGTTGGAACAGTTAGCTACTTCTTTTGACAACTATATATCTCCGCTTAACCCTATTACAAGGCCATTTGGCACACTTTGCTTCCTGATCCAACTCAGCAGGTACATTCTAGACTACAGGGCAGTCCCACCCACTCCTCCCCACTCCAAGTTTTTCCAGTACTTCAATGCCTTCCAGGCTTTCTTCTCTTATAGGGAATAGAACCAATATTTTAGGAAACAGTATTTAGCAGCACTAGCAAACACAGCAAATGTTCACAAAGGTATACACAGCGATCAACGGAGGCTAGACCTTTGACTATAACTAGTTAACTTATGTGAGACCTACAGTTTACCTGGGAGAGTCACGTTTGTATCTCAAGGATGAAACAATGCAACCTTGAGAGCTAAAGTCTTCAGGTCCCTTGGTTCACTTAAGCAGATTTGGTCAGTTTCTGGGTGAAAGAAGAAACAAAGACCCAATTACCTTAATTATTAGAAGATAATGCAATCTGACTCATTCAAATAATAGAGTGTGGAAATATTTATTTATAGCCAGTTAGGTACAAACACTAAGCAGAAGCCTACCATCCAACATGGACATTGGTCTAGAATAACAGTTACTGTTATTGAACATTTATAAGAGGCTCAGCACAGTCAAGTGCTTTATACAAATTCCCATTTAATTTTTATTTCCCCTATAAGGTAGGTATTAATATGGACCTCACCACTAATCCACTGGGAAGTGGAAATCTGTTGTTGGACTCTACACTCTTAACCACTGTGCTACCCTGTGTCCCATTTTTAGAGGAGGATGACGATCCTGTGAACTGGATCAATGCTACTAAAAAGTGTGGTCTGTGACCTGTTTGTTACTGGTCTGTGACAAGTTAAAAATAGAGAGTTAGATTTTAAATCATTTATAGCAATATAACACAATATTTTTATGTCTGTTGAACTTATTTATTTAACAAATCTGAGCTTTTATTTTGTATGTCTTTGGTTTTATTTAGTATCATTTTATAGTAATTTATTTTTATTGTAGTTTTTAAAGTATCAGTACATGATGGATTGGAATTTTTTTTAAAGAAAGAAAAACTGTCCCTTCACCACAGATAGTCTGAGAAAAATTGAACTAAACAACGTGTCTTAGTGACTACCATTGTAAAAAGAAAAACAGAAGACAGTGACGTTGAGCTTCTTCATGAGGTTTGTGGGAGGGGGTTTCTGTCTTTCTTATCAGTCATTTCTACTTCTCACTGATAAATCACATTGTTCTGTTGAGTTTTAAGAAAACAATTTGTAACAACCCCTTTCCTCTTCCTAATGTAAATGCAACTGAGACATGGACACCAGAGTCAGCTAGATCAAAATGTCAGTTACAAAACTGGATAGAGGACACAGCTGAGATGTGCGACCTCAACAGTATTTCTAATGAGGATTCCTGAATTAGGGAACTTCACCCACCGAGTCACTGGTACAGAGGACAAGCTCAGGCTTGCCCCGC